TGGTAGAATTGCTGCTCTCTTTTTCTTTGCTTTATATTACTGAAATTTGGGATTGAGAGATAGAGAGAGACGTAGAGAGAGTTCTCAAGTCTTTGCAACAACATCCAATCCAAACAAACAATGTCTTTTGAAAACCTAAATTCGAATTCAAAGTTTCAAAGCTTTTTAATGGTTGTCAATGGTGGAGGGGTTACAGATTTTCCCTGATTTTAGAAGACGAAATAGTGGGTGATTGAAGAGGAAATCGTGGGGTGTGGTTTGATACGTGGGTGAGGGGATAGGATTTGGAGAGAGAAACTTGGGAGGAGTGGGAATATACGGTAGAGTTAAATTAGGAGACTAATTAATACCATTAAAACTCCTAAAATATACATAAATGGTAATTAGGTATATAAAAGGTAATTATATTAAAAGTTAAGCATGGAGGGTAATATAGTTTACTATATGGCATAGGAATGTAAAAATCCCATGAATAAAACTAGAGGCTTTTTCGTATATATACCATATATGAAACTATATTACCAAATAAATTCATAGTTTGCTTATTACCCTTCATGCTAATAGTATTTTTACCTAATATATACAATGCATTAAATAAGAAATCACTGTAGCTTTATAATTCCTTATTTTGCGCGCTAAAAAAGGGAATTAAATATTTTCCAGATCTTCTCCAACGCAAATCACGCACATTCCATAATTATCGTCGGCTTCACTCTGATCTTCCATAACGGAGAACAAGATTTTCCATACTCTATTTTTGCGATACACTCTGTTTCCAGAAATTCTCTTTACATCTCTCTCTATTTCTCAATCGCAAATTTCAGTAATACAAAGCAAATGAAAAGAGAGCAGCAATTCCACCATTGACAGCCATTAAAAAGCTTGAAAGCTTTTAATTCAAATTTGGGTTTTCAAAAATCATTATTTATTTGGATTGGGTGTTGTTGAAAATAATTGGGAATATGGTTTGGAGTTTATATCTCAATTTTGAGGGGTTTTGGTGAAGATTAAACTTGGTTTTGACTGAATTTCATATTGAAACTCGAAGAAGAAGAAGACATATTGCAGAAATTGTAAAAAAATTGTAGACTGTTGTTTATTTATTTATCTTTTATTCATTTACCTATTGTATGAAAGTTGAACAACATTGTATAAAAATTGTATTAAAGTGGATGATTTAGTTCTGTTTTGGGGGAAAATATGTATAAAAAATGTGAAACATACATTTTAGGGGAAGCATGTCGATTCCAAATATGTATCCAGTTTGTAGATATTTTGTAGATAAATTGTAGATTATTTGTATTCTAATTGTAGATGCTTTATTTTCTGTTTTCACAAATAAAAATGGCTAAAACTTCTACAAATCTTCTGAAAAAATGCAATTATGACAAAAATCTCAATTAAACTACAATCGAATGGGAATTGGGATATTAAAATTCAATATACCTAATTTGTAGATATTTTGTACATGAATTGTAGATTATTTGTATTCTGATTGTAATGCATTGTTTTCTGTTTTCACAAATCCAAAACGACTAAAACTTCTACAAAATCTTCTGCAAAAAATGCAATTATGTCGAAAATACCAATTAAGTTACAATCGAATGGGAATTGGGATATTAAAATTCAATATACCCTGTTTGTAGATATTTTGTAGATAAATTGTAGATTATTTGTATTCTGATTGTAGATGCTTTGTTTTCTGTTTTCACAAATCAAAAATGACCAAAACTTCTACAAATCTTCTGCAAAAAACGCAATTATGTCGAAAATTCCAATTAAGCTACAATTGAATGGGAATTGGGATATTAAAATTCAATGTACCGAGTTTGTAGATATTTTGTAGATAAATTGTAGATTATTTGTATTCTGATTGTAGATGCTTTGTTTTCTGTTTACACAAATAAAAAACTACTAAAACTTTTACAAATCTTCTGCAAAAAACAGTCTACAATTTATCTACAATTTTTCTACAATTGCTGCAATATAATGTATGTCATGTTTTTTTCTTCTTCTTCTTTGAGTTTCAATCTAAAATTCAACCAAAACCAAGTCTAAATCTTCACCAAAACCCCTCAAAATTGAGATATAAACTCCAAAACATATTCCCAATTATCTACAACAACACCCAATCAAAACAAATAATGATTTTTGAAAACCCAAATTTGAATTCAAAGCTTCAAAGCTTTTTAATGGCTGTCAATGGTGGAATTGTTGCTCTCTTGTCTCTTTGAAGGTTTGTTCTTATTCATTGAGAAAATTTGAAATTGAAGGTAAATGTGTGTATGAACTTTGAAGATTTGACTTCAATTTTGACTGGTTTTAGAAGAAAAAAGCTTGAAATTGGACGTTAATGGAAGGGTGTTACATATGTTTCTCTGGTTTTAGCAGAGGGAATAATGAATTTGAAACGTGGGTGTGGGTAAACATTGAAGGTAATATAGTTTTCTATATGGAATAGGAATGTAAAAATTCCATAAAACTAAGACTAACTAACTAAGACTAAGGCTCTACAACAGTTCATAAATAAACTGGGCCAGGCCCAAATGCACCTCATGTAACTCCAACAGTATACTATAAGTTCTGTTTTTAACTCAAAACGTTTTGGAATTTGTACGCAGTTATGTTATTTTTTGGTTACAAGTTGCATAATGATTGATATGGGATATGTATGGGATAAAACATATGATAAATTGCACTTGAACATGTGCAGAACGACTTATAAATTGCATTAATAGATGCGACTTACAAATCGCATTAATGGTAGCTTGTAAATAGTACTCCTAATTAAGAATCCCACATTTTTGGCCAAGTACTCCTTTGGACCTCTCTATTCCTTTTTCTCAGCGACATTATTTCTCCTGAAAAGTGAAAACTCGAAATCGAAAGCCAATCCACAGTTCACGCCGGTCATTCCACTAACTCCAGACGTCGTCGTTTCCTTCGCCGGCAACTCACTCTCTCCCTCTCAGAAACTGTAAACACTCTTCTCTATTTCTTCTCTCTCTCTCTCTCTCTCTGTCTTTGTTAATTTCTCTCTTTTAGACTTCCATTTTTGCTGCATGTTAGATTTTCTGTGAAATAAACCGTCTTATTTTGGCTTTACAGTTTTACAATGAGCTCCGGTACAAAATCTGTAATCACCTCGCTTACCGGTAGTAGCCCATGCACACCTGATCAACCGCTGAAGCCTGCTGTTAATTTCTCTACTATTTCAAAAGCTTCCTCTATACCTGAGTTTCTCATTTGAAATCAACGTATCGAGAAAATGACTTTTCTCGTGTACGACAAATCCTTATGAACCGGGAAAATAAGCTTAGGATAAGTGTAGGTTGACATTTGAGGTGTATAAGAGGATAGTGAATTGAAAGGGGGGAAATGGAAAGCAGATGCTAGAGTAAAGGATTTGGAGCAAAAATTGAAACAATTAGATGACCGGATGTCACATTGAAAGGAAAAAATGGCGAAAGATGTGGATGTTTCAGTCGTTTGAGAAGTTCACAAGGATTTGGAGCTAGAGATAACAGAAGGTTTTGAAGCGAATCGTCAAGCTTCTGGTGGTGTTAAGGAGACTGCAATCCATAAAAGTTTAGGAAGCGAAGTTAATCTCGACAGTAAAAATTTGGACCCGACCAAGGAGAATCAGTTTTCTACCAGGGCTCATTGGGGCTGTGATTTCAACTGGAAACAGAACTGGTCAATCAGAAAGGGAGGGTATTACACTTTATCTGGACCTTTGTGTCATTTCTGTTAGTTACATTGCACTATGCCTACCGAGATTTTGGTTGCAGTTATTGAGTGAAAACTATATTTTTGTATTCATATACTCTATTAAATGTGCATTGTCCTTCCTTAGAAAATGGGTAGCAGTGGCACCTGCAGTTGTATTATGCAGGGGCAGATGGATTGTTGTGACGTGGGTTCAGTGGCACCTGCAGTTGTATTATGCAGGGGTGGATGGATTGTTGTGATGTGGGTTCATCTGAATCCAGTATTTTTAATGCGAAACATAAATTCACGTGTAAAAATGTACTAATTGCAACAAATAATAGGGAATCCATTATTATAAAAATACAATGTGTTTAATGGTAAAAACCTTAAAGGCTGAACCCATAAAGTTTAAATGTCTCTTCCTCATATTTGCACATCCCTCACAAGCAGTTGTGGAAATAGCTCAGCTCAGGCCATACTCAATAAGACTTTGGTTACTCAAACTTCAGCAAGTAGGCCTAAATTTCAGTGGGACAAATTATCGCATCAAACTGAGTGATGTGTGTGCACATGTAGATAAGTGTTCTGCCCTCCCAAGAAGCTGAGAATTATAGTTCAAAACTCCATTAAACAATTCCACTAGCTATCTGTTTCAACAATTTGAATCAACTAGGACAACAGACATCAATCATATCTTTAAGTCTTCAAAAAACTAACCTTAGGGAGAGAAGGAGAGGGGGCTGAGAGAGAATCGAGATGAGATTACCTGAACGCTGTGGAATTTGAGGATGGCCAGTAAAAGGTGGCAGGCTGGTGGAGATCGCAGGGGAAGGCCGAAGGTGGAGAGTGAGAGGGAGCTGCGTGAAAGGAATTATTAGAAAAATAAGAGTGGAAGTTTGAGTTTTAAGTCTTTTAGTCCAATGCAAAAAATGGGCGCACCCTTTAGAAGGTAGACAAGCACCATCTAAAGGTATCTTATTTCTTCCAAAGTGTAAAACCTTTTTCTGACTAAAAAGTAGAAATTTAAAAGCAACTATTGATAGGAATAATCTTTTACTTGCTACTTTATTGTTAGATTCTAGCAGATTTAATGAACTTAGCAGTGAGCTATATAATTCCTTCCTCCTTTTTTTCATATTTATTCTATTGACATGTGGTAGTTCCTTCTTCCTTATTAGCGTCTTAAAACAATGGCCTTGTCCTCCCTTTCAAATTGTTTCGTGTTAGCTATGCGTTGTCGCCAGTTGATTGATGAAGGAAAAGAAAAATACCATTTCAGAAAAAAGGGGTTTCTGTAGCAAAACAAGTCCATGGTAGCAGAACTCTAAATCTAAAATTGTATTTGTACAATCTAGTTTTCACTACTTCATATATTAGATCTGCTTTAAACTGCTACATGTTCTATCTTGGAGTCTTATTCTAAAAGCCTATCACTCTCTCTCTGACTCTCTCTATCCACCTATATAAGTGATATAAAACCAACATCATCATTATCCTCAATCCTCTCCCGTCTGGAGTTCTTGAGGAGCGGTGAAGCATCACGTTCGGTTTCATTTTTCTTCTCTCCATATACCAGCGTATTGTTACATTGGAACAGGATTTGCAGAACCTGCTTCATGGTCGGCCTTGATGAAGGAAATGTGCTAGTGCAAAAGATCCCGAGCTTAAACACATTGCTCATTTCATCCAAGTATTGTGGCTCCTTTATCGCCTCATCTAAGACATTGACTATGGGATATCCTTGTTGGATACGACGCCACGCCCAGTCTGCAAGGCACGAGTCCTCGTCTCCATAATTGGCTTCTTTCCCAGTTACCAGTTCCAAAAGGATGACTCCGAAGCTATATACATCGATCTTCTCATTCACCTTAGTTGTACGTGCATACTCTGCAAAAGCAATATGGAAATGAAAACATATTCTAGGCCAACCATATCGGAACTTGTAATATTGTAAGATAGTTTTACTTTACCTGGAGCGATGTATCCAAAAGAGCCAGCCACTGCTGTCACTGTATTATCTCCAGGCTTGGCCAGTATTTTGGCGAGGCCAAAATCTGCAATTTTTGCATTGAAACAAGAATCCAAAAGGACATTGCTTGATTTCACATCGCGATGAATAATAGGTGGCGAGCAGTCGTGGTGCATGTAGCACAAGCCTCGAGCAGCTCCAATTGCAATTTGCAGCCTCTTAGGCCATTCCAATACTAAATCAGAAACATTGCTTAACCTCTTATTCTGCTGAAGCCATATATCCAAGCTCCTACTCTCCATGTATTCATAGACAAGAAGCTTTGACTCTTCACTGGATATACAGCACAATAGTTTCACTATATTGGAGTGTCGAACTGTGCCTAATATTTGAACTTCAGCTAGAAACTCTTTTTCAAGCTTGTGATCCAACTTCTGGTTATTCCAAATCTTCTTGACAGCAACACAGTTTCGTGAACGGTTTAATGGCACGAGGTAGACTTGTCCTGATCCTCCACTTCCAATTGTGTTCTTCTCAGTAAGATATGGTACAATATCTGCCTCTGTGAAGTCTAACTTGTGAAATGAGGTGAGCTTCCATGTCAAAACCGATTCTTGCTTTCTTTTCCTATAGCTTCTCAACACGAACAAACTATATAAAGCAGCCACCAGTGTTGCTACTCCACCTACACTTGCAAGAGCAGCAAGAAGTTTGACGGGGAGCTTATCGGACTTCCCCGTTTTCCCCTTGCAAAAGCCAAGTCCTACTGATGGATCACTTGCACAAAGACCAGGGTTACTTAAGAAGCTCCGATCAAAAGCTGCATTCTCTAACTCAACGGGGATTCTACCAGTTAGGCGATTGGAAGAAAGGTTGAGTGAGGCTAGCCTCAAGTTACCTATCTCAGGTGGAATTTCACCTGATAACAGGTTGCTTGACAAGTCCAAGTCAATTAGGTTTGGCAAAAGGCCAAGTGCTGCTGGTATTTGTCCTGAAATCTGATTTCTGCTGGTTTTTAAAGTAGTAAGAGAATTCCAAGAGACTATATTCGACGGAAAACTCCCGGATAGTTTATTACCATCCAGCAGAAGTTCTGTTAACTTTGGAAGAACAGTCAATTCTTCAGGAATTTTACCAGTAAACAGATTATTGCATGCTCTGAATACCCTTAAATTGTACCAAGTACCCATTTCAGCTGGTAATTCACCTGAAAACTGGTTATTCCTGATATCAACCTGAGATAAATTTGATGCCACTCTTTCTGGAAGTTGACCAATTAACAAGTTATCATTTAACAAGAAAGTTGACAAATTCTTTGCTGTCCACAAACCATCAGGAATCTTACCAGTAAGCCTGTTTTTTTCAACTCGAGCGGCCCTCAAACTATTACAGTTTCCAAGAGATTCTGGTAGCTCACCTGTAAGATTGTTATTAAAAGCAAGCATCATAAGCAATCCCTTGTTATAACATAGAGCCTCTGGTAATTTTCCAGTAAAATGATTTTGGAAAACCTGGAAATCTCTGAGCATCGAAAACCGACCAAAATCTGGTGGAATTTCACCAGATAAACTGTTCCCAAAAAGCTTAACATCTGCCAATACTGGCAATTTGCCTATGCCTATTGGTAAATTCCCTGATAATTGGTTCATAAACAGAGATAACCCTGTCATTTTGGTCAGCTCTCCAAAATTTTCTGGTATCTTCCCTGTTAAGCTGTTGTCAGACAAATCAATAACCTCCAAATTGAAGGACTCAATAATCTGAGGAATCTCTCCTGTCAATCTATTGGTATAGAGATAAACTATGGTCAGATTCTTGGTCTGAAACAAACTGCTAGGGATGCTACCACTCAATCCATTTATTGATAAGTCCAAAAATTCCAAAGCTAACATGTTGCCAATGCTTTCTGGGATTTCTCCTATCAAATTTATTTCACTCATCCAGATATTTTTGAGTTTCTTCAACTTGGTAAAACTTGATGGTATTTCTTGAGGTGCAAACTTATTGAGATTTAAATTCAGAGATTCAAGATTTGTCAAGTCGCCAATTTCAGCAGGGAAAGAGCCATGGAAAGCGTTTGAAGCAAACTGAAGTTCTTTGAGCTGTTTTAGACCTCCAATTGCTGGAGGAATGTCACCAGTAAAGAAGTTTGCTGTTATGTTGAAGTACTGAAGCTTAGGCGAAAGCCGGTTGATGTCATTAGGAAGGCTGCTGTTCATGAAGTTAAAAGAAAGGTCTAAGTATTCAAGATTGGAACAGTTGTAAAGAAGAGTAGGGAAAGGACCAGGGATGATGTTGTAGTTAACATCAAGAAAGGTGAGGTTTTTGAGGTCACAAATAAATGGTGGGATTGGTTTGGAAATGTTGAGATTAACGAGACGAATGGCGCTGACTGAATTATCATGTGTGCAGCTGATCTCCGGCCAAGTGCACTGGTCTGATGATGAAGTCCAGTGGTTGAGGAAGAAGGGAGAAGTGGTGGAAAATTGTTGTTTTAGTTGAAGTAAAATGGTTTTTTCTTTATTGGAGCTAGGCTGGGAATTTACATGGAAGGTGAAATGGACAAAAGTGAAAATGCAGAGAAGGATTTGGGGAGCTGGGATTATTTTAGTTTTGGACATTTTTCTAAGGAAGATAGTTTCTATGGGTAATGATTGAAGGAGTGTTGAAAATGAACCATGTTGTTGGCTTGGTAATGGCATCTCTCATCCCTGCTAACTTATAAACTATCGACAGTAATATCATAATACTATTCAAATTCTGTGTTCATTTTTTAATCAATTTCCATTAGCTCATTGTTAGTCTTCTTAAATCTTAATCAATCATTAAAGCAACTCTTAGTATTTACTTATTTTTCTATTTCTATCTAGAAGAGAGGTTTGTCCTAAGTGGAATAATTAGCTAGAAGACTAATCCTCAACAGCAAAGCATGGTGTGATCTTTTTCTCGCTGGTGGCGTAGACTTTGGGTCAGTCAACTAAATATATGGAGTATATCTTTCTATTATACACACTTTACAGATCTGATCTCCAACAACTTTTTCCTTGTTTTCTCGTAGAATTTATATTCAGGTTCCACGGAATTGCATCTTTTAACATTTAGATACCTTGGTTCATGCACAATTGTATACCAAAAAGTCAGCTGACATGGAAGCTTAGTAGTTTAATACACGTTAATTCAGAGTTACCGGTTCTAATATATTACTCCCTCCAGTCTACAATAAGTGATTTTTTGGTTTTTTTCTGGGTCCAAAATATATGATTTTTCTAGATTTCAAGAATGAATTAATTATTTTTTCCTACATTGCCCTTGGAGTAAATAATGTTGGAGTATGTGTTAGGAGTTTTTATGTGAATAGTTAGTAAATGTTAATATGATCAATTTCATTGATAACTAATATTAAAAAGTGAATTTTTTAATTTGTATGCAAACAACCAAAATCATGTATTATGGACCAGAGGGAGTAATTATTTATCATAAATAAACATGACACTGGACTAATAGGTTGATTTTGTTATAGAAACCCTTATAACTAAGATTAATTAAAATTTCACCGGTATTTTCCTTCCCGTGTTCTTAGCCGAATCTAAAGCACATTCGATTGTGAATACAGTAATTATTATATAGAAATTTGAGATGCACCTGAATTTCAAATCCTAAACCCGTTACTCCGCTACCCTTCCTCTCCTTTCCCACTACTAAGAAAATAAGTTATTCAAAGCATTAAAGATAGAAGCAATCTCAATTGGAAATCTCACATATTTATTGGTGGCTTATATTATTTGTTGTTAGTCAAGGAAGCTTCCTAGTTGAAACGTGTCATAGAGTTATATGCGGCAGAAAATATAGCTAATGCCATTTCACAGTGACCCCACTTGTTATATAGTACTGGTAGTAATTACAAGTAGATGACACACCTTTGTTGACGGAAGACTCCTAAAGATAGTGCACATTGACTTTGAATCCTTTTTGGTGAAGCAGCTTATTGTCATCCTTCCGTTTCATAAGCAATGTATTGGCCAAATTAAGTTACCTCATCCACATAAATCCACTAGAAAATGTCTAGTAGTTAAATGCCAAAATCTCGAACCTATTCAATTTTTTGCCATCGCCTGCCCGTCATCCTGATCATTTGCGTACATCATCTCCATGTGAGTGGGAGGTTGATCCAATATTTAAATTTTATAAGTTTAATCTATAAGGTTTTTGATATTGAACCAATTATATTGTTAAAGTTATGAGTTTATATCTTATTATTATTTGTTGTAATTTTGGTAGATTTTTACAAATAAATTTATAATTCGCGTCGAAAGTAAATGAATTATTATTATTATTATTATTTGGTTAAATTCTTCCTTATGGGTTATATCTACATGGATTAAACAATCCAAGTGACTAAATTATCCTTCTTCCCAAGCCTTTCTTTAGTAGAATGACAGTAGCTAGCCACACTAAAGGGCTGTTATTTAAGAATTAGTCAGTGCGTCCTGAATATCACTTTTTCAGTTTAAAATGCTCTAAATTGTCCCGGAGTTAAGATTTTTAGTTTAGAATTTCAAGACAAAATAAGTACTGACTAGATCTCTAAATAGCATCCCTGATAATGGCTATCTATGCGCTTGAAAGTAAGAATGTATGCAGTTTAAAACCAAATATATGTTTTAGATTATATACCGTATATCTCATTTTAATACAAAAAATCAAATACCGTGAAAAAATATAATATTTGTCACACCTCCTTTTTACCTACACCCCGGGAAGGGATGTATAAGGGAGTTTTTTCATCTTAAAGTGACAATCGAAACGGGATCATTTTATTAAAAATTCAGAGTCGCCACTTGGGATAATTTAAGGTGTCCCAAGTCGCCGGTTCAAATTCCGAGTCGAGGAAGAGGTTGACTCTATATTACAGTCCGCGAGCCAGAAATTCGGGTAAGGAATTCTGTTAACCCGGGAGAAGGTGTTAGGCATTCCCGAATTCCGTGGTTTTAGCACGGTCGCTCAACTATTATATTTGGCCTATTTACTGATTTTAATACATGGTTTAGCCTATGATACAATTTTAACTAATTAACCGCTTTTAATCATTTTTAAGGAAGATTGCAACCTCATTTAAAATACGTCTTGAACCACGTCACATAAATGCATCCGCGGTCCACGACACATTTTATTTAACGTTGTTGGGATTTGGATTTGGGTCACATAAATGCACACCCGAGTTTAGGAAAGTAACTTTTTAAATAGCGCGCCTAAAGCAACTACGCACTTTCAGGTTTGCGAGGGCCATGGAAAATTCAACTAAATGGCACGCCTCAATTTCTAAGGATTAAAATTAAAAGGGTGAGGGCCACACATTTCAAGATTTTATTTGGTACGGCACACCTCAAATTATTAAAGGAAAAGCATTCAACTAAGTGAACTACAGATATTCATATTTGAAAAACTAACTTGAAACTGAGTATCACAACTACACCACGGGAACCGTACCCGTAGTTATGATGACTTTACTACGTACCTAAAGCAAGCTACGATGATCATGATTTTCCTAAAACTAATTTTGACATTATTGCAAAGCATGATTTCTGGATATTTGTAGAAGAAAAGTGAATTTGATCACTACCAGATTCATTATAAGGTTATTGAAAAATATTTACAACTCAAAGCATTATTACAAATTCCGTTTTCCAATCTTAATTTGTAGACATGATTATTGTATTCCAAAATTCAAGCATTCACTATGTGGCCAAGGATCACATATCTTTCAACCTTCTCGTCCATCAAACAGGTAAGCAACAAATTTAACAAAAAGGCTAATGAGACCTAACGATTAACAGAGAGAATGCAATATTCATGAAGCTAAATAAGAAAGATCATATACTCACAAACAATATCTTAACAGAGCAATAGTGGGAGATATGGACCTTAACATTAGCCGAAAATTGATTGTTTCACTGCTTTGAATTCAAAAATATGACAAACCGCAGACGGGAACTCGCATCGGTGTCGAAAAGCCGAAACCAAAACGACCTCACTCAAACTTCATCGGATTCCATGGTTTCACAATCAAAAATCAGAAAAGGAGCTAAAATTTTAAAAGCCATGAACAAAACCTTTCTTTGAAGCCGTATTTTATCTCAAATTTCCAAAAGAATGAAGCTGCAGTAGCGAATACTCTCCGACGTCGGTAATCTTGACTAGCGAATTCGTTTTTGGAAAGAGGCGAAGAGGAGTGGAGGTGTTGGTAATTGTTCTGATGAGTTCGAAATCAAGGAGAAATTTGAGGAATTTGTTAGGTATTGAAGCAAATTCAAGTGATGATTTCAAGAGAAATATTAGTGTTTTGTTCGAAAAGGTATTGCTTGAGATTTCTTTTTGTTCTTGTCGTCTAGCTGCTGCCGTTTTTTGTTGTTGTCTAGGTCTAAGAATTGAAAAACTTAGGGTAGAGTTTCTATAATTGGGTATTGAAAAACTTTATATGGAAGTGGGAAGGGATGATGGCCATTGGATTAGAAGGAAATAGATGGCTAGGATTAAATCTTGCACTTAAATGGGCTAATGGGTTGGGAAGAATGGGCTAATGGTAATTGGGTTGGACCATGTCTTTTTTGTGTCTCAATTTTGGGCTAAGAAGACTCCAAAATTATTATTCAAAACCATAACTAAATTCCTTTAATATAAGATAACTATACTACATGATGCAAAAATAAATTCTAATTAATTAAACTAAACTATATTAAAACATGAAACTATTATATATTTTTTGTATTTTTCAAGATTATATAAAGATAAAAATAAGGTACTATTTTTGTATTTTTTTTACTTTATGAAAGGTACATAAAATAAAATATTTTTGTAATTTTTATTTTCTTGTAATAAAATAAAGTAAAATAGTCAAAATTAGTTGAAATAAAAATATTAGACCTAAATTAAATATTTACATGCTAAAATATATAAAATCTTGGGGAGGGTCAAAAATTACATGTCTACAATTGTCCCTCTTTGACTGAAAACGCGGAGAGTTTTCAGACAAAGAACGACTAGACAGGTTTTTTGACACGACCCTTATTTGGAGAGACTAAAACTAAGAGGAAAAAGGGAATGTGACTGAGCCCTGGTATCTGAGCTGTCTACATATCCTTGGCTATAAAGGAATCAGGCCACGTGTAGTTCAGAAGTGAGTGAGATGATAGAGTATGCCGAGGTGGAGAGCCAGTCAAGGTGCCATTCTGCCCAGGTTCCGGTCCGCGGTCCCGTTATTACATCAAAATCAAAAATAAAAAAGACTAACTAAGCCTATCAGCTACGAGTTACAAGATTCCTATCTATGAGTTTTCTGAAGCTTGATCTTGAGTCTTGGTTGATTCTTCATGCGGACCCTAATCTGAATCTTGATACTTGTTAGCCGCATGTGTTGGTTCAATCTTCTTCAGCTTTTCAAACCAAGACGGGACATGCAGAGCTTATGACCTCAGCCCTGTCTTGAGCAGCTCACATCTTTCATTAACTTCTGCATTTGGATTCACTTCTTGTCTTTCTTGAGTCTTGGGCAGCTTGGCTTCTGCTCAATCAGCTTGAGTCGGTCTCAAAAGACTTTTGTTCTGCACCAACTCTGATTATTTCACACCAGTACCATTTGTATTTGCAGCTCAAACAGCCTTATCCCAATTGGAGATCTTTGCTTAGGTGACATTTTCCGATATCTTGAATGACTTCCTGCTTTTGAGCAACTTGTCTGTCAGAGAGAATCACCAGCTATCTTTGCTTGCGCCAAGTAGGCTGACAAGAGTCTTTTTGGGGAAGCCTTTGTATGAATCCTCATGGTATATTGACGGAAACAACTTAGTGCTGGCCAAATTTGCTTTATGCAATTGAAAAGCTGGTAGCAGATTTTGAAATCTTTTCTTGCTTGTTTTGACAAGGACCAACTCGGAGTGAAGGACACAATGATGCAAAGAAACAAGTATTAACAAGAAATGCCCTTGTCGGAAGGACAGAAGGAAGAATTCTTTTTTCTTCTTTTTTTTTTCTTTTTTCTTTTTCAATAACTAGCCTTAATGATAATGACATGCATTTTGGACTTAATGGCCGATCTACCAAACTAATCCAATCTTCCCTTTTACCATTCTTATGACCTTTGAAGTCGGGCTTGTTTATGCCAATTCTTCGCATCAGCTTCACGACTCACTTTCGACAAGTAGTGCCCGAGGGGTTTTCACCAATAAGTCTCTCTCATTTATTTATCTCTGCTTACCGTCGCCTTACAGTGCCCGTGAAGGTTTTTACTAGTAAGACTCTCATTTTTCTTTTTCTTTTTCCTTTTCTTTTTCTCACTTTTTGTGAGTAACTTGACAATGCTATATGTCGTGTGACAACCGTTGCTCATTGCATTCTTCTCTTGGCATTCTTGAAGGCATATCGAGAGGTCTTTATTTGGAAGGTTTTTGGATAGGGTTGGACGAAAAGCCGACATGAGGCTCAAAACAGAGTAGAGATGACGGGGTTGTATACTTACATCTTTTGGAATCGACTCTTTTAAAAATAAAATAAAATCTTTGCCCTAGTTTCAGCTATTGAGGGAATTTTTGGATTTTTTTTCTCTTTTCTGAATTCTTATTTGGTTGGACCTAACCGTGAAGCTGCCTACGTATCCTTATTTTTTAAGGAATCAGGTCGAACGTAGTTCAAACATCTGACCTAACTATTTTTTTCATTTTTCTTTCTGATGTTTTTTCCTTTCTTTTCTTTTTTCTTTTTTTTTTCTTTCCTTTTCCTTTGTTTTCAAAACAAGTTGCCCCAACTCCTATTTTTTTGGGCATGGACCTTTGATAAATCTTTTTTTTTTGAACTTTCTAAGAATTGCCCCAGTTTGTACTCTTGGGACATGGATTTTTTTCTTTGTCTTTT